CTGCTGGTCCCTAGTGACTGATCTCTCTAGCTTTCTTCTGCTGTGTCCTTCCTACTCCAAGTTCAACACCTCTTTCCACCTCAGACACAGGAGCTTCTGAGGTAGGCTGGCCGAAAATATCACCAGCATGAAACCCAGCAAGGGCAGCCGGGCCGCTGTTCTGACCAAGAAACGGCAGCATCAGTTCTAAATCCCGGCTGAATATTGCAATAGAAGCACTGAGGAGTTCAAAAACAATCAAGCCTGAAACCCTTCAGCACCCAGTCTGCCCTCCACCCCACCTGTCAGGTTCAGGCATTTGTGAAAGCTCCCCAGCTATTTCTGATGTGCAGCTGGGTGGAGAAGCACTAATGAGAAAATCATTTCTGTACACCTTTGCACTTATTAAATATCTAATTTATAGAAGGGAAGATGCGACTACTTGTGCAAAAGAGAAGCCTAAAGAAATAACGCCTCCTCTGTGACATTTTCCAGATCACAACAGTCAGACCATCAGAAAAAAGACCACGATAAAATGAAAGGATGCCTAATGGTTAAAATGGAAAGTGCTAAAGGTCCTTTCATTAAATTACTATTTGCTCATCTGAATAATACCCTTGCCCACCAGCCAGAGGGCAAACCCACCCTTTTGGAGGGCAAATAAGAAATCGTTTTTCCTCTACCCCATCTTCCCCTGGGCAGGAAAGCTGCTCTGATGGGCTGCAGACTGGGCCTTGGTGAGAGTAGGCAGAGGCGACGGCCCTGCTGACTGAGGAAATCATACTTAGAGGTGCTTGAGCTGAGGGGTGACGGCTTTGATCTTCGGATCATCCAGGCCTTTTCCTCCTTTCCTGACAGTCTAAGGAATGCAGCTTAGTCAAGACCAAGGACAGGACCAAACCCAACAAGGGTTTTCAACAGGGGGATGATGCCCAGGCAAGGATGGCCCTGGAATTACCGGAACGGCAGAGGGTGCGTGCATAAAGGCAGGGACCGTCTCCCCACTGTGTTCTCCGTGCTGCCACGGGAAAGTGCTGCTCTATAACTGGGGAGGAGATGAATGAGTGTGTTTCCCCTGAGGGGCTTTTTTTTTTTTTTTCAGTCCCTGGTATTTCTCTATATTTTCTGGCAAATCCTTGAAAGTCTTCTGCAAAAGAAGTGTATTGACTTTTTCAGAAGTGAGAGTGGAGCCAGTCACAGTGGCACAGTAAGAACCCATGCCCTGCGATGCCGAGGCCGAATGGGGGATCTGTGTCCCAGTATCTCCCTGGACATGGCAGGCATGAGCACAGACGCCTTGAAGCTGGCCAGCTGGGGCTGCAGGTAGATTTTGGTGCATGTGCCTGTGGGGGGTCCCTGCCTCTCTCTCTCTCTCTCTGTCTGTCTCTTTCATGGAGGAAATAAATTAATACACTTTTTAAAAAAAAAGTCTAATGGGGCACATTTAGGGGGTTTTTGGGGTTTTTTTGGCTTTGTCTTTTAAAATTTGTCAAAACTAGTAGCTGGAAGAACTAGTGATGGGAGGGAGATACCTAATTCCTGATGTTCATGACTCAAAAGGAAAAATTCCATAGAAAGATTTAGCATAGTAGAGGTATTTGACCCCACTCTTCACGGAAGAAAATAGCAGCTGGGTTTTTTTTTTTTTTTTTAAAGGGACTTGACGCACTATGATATATACCGATCCTTAATTTCAAAAGCCCTCCCTCCCATGAACCCTAGTCCATCCTGTCCCACACATAGAAAGCAAATTATGATTGAGCTATGGTCTACAAAACCTGGACCAGTTATTTTTTAATCCAGGTGTTTTATTATTATTATTCGGAGGAAATGATCTACTGAAGTGAGAGTACATATGTTGGTTAATATTTAAGAATTCCAAGAACCTCGGGATTAATATCTGGACATTTTGAGCCAGAAAGCAGCCCATCATTTTGTAATCTATGTTTCTTCACAGACGTGGTGACCAAAATCACATCAATTAGGGACAGAGGCCAGAGTGCCATCCCTGGTGAGTGTGAGACTTTCGGACTTCACATGGGAAGGGAAACTGTCCCTAACATCTGCCACACTTAAAGCTCACTTCCTGGATCCGAGGTCAAATTTGCCAGTCTCTGGGTAGCCAGAATTTGCATATACATACATACATACATACATATATATATATACATACATACATACATATATATATATATATATATATATATAGTCTTTTCTTTTTTCTTTTTTCTTTTTTTTTTTTTGAGAGGTTTTTGCTATAGGGCGTGTGTGCTCGCCAGACAGACACAGACAGACAGAGAGACAGAAAGCAAGAAATCACCCCCCGGGGGGATGGCCACACTGCAATCCCTTCTCCTCCATTCTCCTCTCAGGACCTTGGGCACGTACACACACATGCACCCGGTGTGAGTTTTAAGCCACTGGGTCTGGGACACAAACAGCAGTTAACTACATGCAAGTCCAGGGACATAGCCATTATGCTAACTGCTGGTCCCTATATATGTCTTTTCTAAAGTCAGAGTTTAAGATTCTTCAAGTGACCAATTTGTTAGTCTAAATTTTTCAAAATTTATCTGAGTGCTCTGAAGTGACTGAGTTTACTAATTTGGCTCTTTATGATAATGCTGAGGTCACAAGAATAGGCGCAGCATGGTAAATACAGAATCCTTTACTTCAGGAACACTTACCAAAAATACCAGAGTTCCCCCACACAATCTCTCAAATCGCAGAACACAGAAGTTTGGACGAACACTGGAGAGATTCTACCTCACCTTCTTATTCAGTGAGGAATGTACCCCCGATAAAGGGCTAACTACCCACCGGGGAAGCTAATATTAGAAATGTTCTCTTTAGTTTGAAAGGAGAGCTGAAATTTGCCTCTTTCCAAGTGCCACCCAGTGGTTCTGGCCTGGCCCTGCATCTCAGTGCAACACAAAAATATATTCCCTTTCCTCAAAACTCCTTTCTGAGATGTGAATTCAGCTCTCATGTCTGCCCTAGGCCATGTCTTCCCCAATTCCTTCAACCATCTCCTGAATAACGAGAACTCTCAACTCCTTTCCAACCCGGTCCTGCTCTTCTCAAGGTGTTCATTTGTAAGTGTCCCTTTTTCTTTGTTTCTAACTTCAAATACAATTATATTTGCACAAATGGCTACAACAGGCAGAACTTCAAACCACTCTGCTGTTGTAGGAGTTAGCATGGTATACTGGACAAGCACAATAATTTTTACTACCTGATTTAGATAATTTAAATTAAGAATATAAAAAAGTAAAAAATCTTTTTCTCACTATGGAAGTCCAGTCAGCCCCTAGGTGGCACTAGCTCTGATAATACCTCCTGTCCTGATTTTTGGCCCATGTTTTCATTCCATGACTGAGCCTCCCACACCACATCATCAGGACTTAGAGACGGTTATTTGGGAGATATGAAATCACAGGTAGAAAAGTAAAGAATGGACAGTGATTTTCTATGCTTCCCTCTATTAACATACATATCAATATACAGCTATTCCTCTACTCCCTCGAAATTGGTAAGTTGTTGCATTCTAGAAGTTAGAAAACAGAACTCTTGACTTTCAAAAAAGTTTTAAAGTTAAAGATACTCTTTGAAAAATGTCTTTTAAAAATGTCTCCAATTTTGGTGCCAGTTTTAAACCTTACAGACAAGAGTTTAACTGCATCAGAAGCCAACCAGTAGGAGGTTTCATCCAATAATTCTCTGATGTTAGACACGAGAACAACATCTTCCTGTGGCGAGGTGGGAAAGATGTAGTACCTCTCTGTTAAGGAGTCGCATGGGAGGAAATTAGGGACCTACCTTGTCCCAGATTTCATGCATGTGAAAATCAGAAGCAGAAAAGCTATGCTCGGACAGCCTGGGCTGTCAGCCCAATATGATGGAACTTCTCATTTGGGGATGGGAACCGGTCTACTGTTTATGTTCCTTCTAGACACCATTAAAAACTCTCTATTCTCATAATTCCCTGAACCTCGACACCACCATACAATAACCCCAACACTTTATGAATCAGTAAAACAGATATATTTTAATCTTCTCTTTATCACGAGTATGAATTATTTATTAGAAGTAAATATACTTTTAATTTTAATAACCCATTAATAAAATTAGATAACTTTTTAGAACAGTGCTTAATATAAAATTTTTTTTCTTCAATTTTTCATAGGAAACTAAATGTTTAATTAAACTGAAACCTTTTTTCTTTGCAAGTAGAGAATTCAACCCCAAGGAATTCTTATCACCCTGTTAATATTCACTATTTTTTTCTGTCAGTTTTTTTTCAGTTGATCAGAAAACTATAATAATGTGGGACCAGTTTTAGCACAGCATGGATTTTCTTCTATTGAACATCACCACAAAAAAGAGACAGATCATGTCAACGTAAGTTTATATATCTTTTCCTTTTAGAGAAATATAAATGTTCAACTTACCTGTTTTTACGATTTAGAAAAAGTAGACTAGTAAGCTATCCCCAGCATAGTAAATATATAACCTGGGTCCATGTTCCATAGATAAATAAGGCCAGAAAGGATGGTGAAAAAGAGAAAGGCTAACGAAGAGTAGGGCACAGACAAAGAAAGAAAAAGGAATGAAAGATGGAATAGGAGCACACACCCAGAAATGGTGGGAGGACGAGCGTGGTCACAGGAGAGGAGAGTGGGCAAGTTTGGGCTAAAGCCAATTTTTCCCTCTAGGCATATCCTTACCCCTGAGCTAGGGGCACCCACGTGGGGTATCACCATCCTCCGGAAGTGGACGAACTTATGAAGTGCACTTTCCAACTTTCCTAACTATGACTCTTTGGCCTAAAACCCTTCTTTTACAGGAGTAGTAATTAGTTCACGGGGCACATACAAAGAAACCCCCATGGGTACCCAACAGCAGTGGCCTGAGCAAGGTCCCCTGTGGGCCACCAGACGCGGGGCTGGGGGTCGGGCCTGTGCTGGGTTAAGGTTCCCACCGAGGGGAGCACTCCTACTGCACCTTCCACCCATGCTCACCTCCTCAACCATCTGCTTGACCTTCTTCTGCTGGCAGTGCACCATGTCGTCCAGGTGCCGGATCCGTTCCCGAAGGCTGGCCGACGCCTCCTCCAGCTGCTGATACCTGGCAGGACAGAAGAAGGGGCAGTGGAGTGGCAGGAGAAGGGAAATACATCACCACGAACAAACTGAAATGCCAAGACTCACCCTTCTCCCTTCGTGTACAGCGATTAACTAGTAATCCACTACGCCACCACGGGAATACAGGACTCCTTCAAGTTCCCCCTTACCACTTCTATCCTGAACAAAGGCAGCTACTATACTTTGCAGGGACCAAAATAAATATATACATAGAGAGAAAGATAGTGTCTTTTTGTTTTGTTTGTTGTTTGGGGGGTTTTGTTTAATTTTGGTTTGGTGTTGGGTGTTTTTTGTTGTTGTTGTTTGTTTGTTTTTGCACCACTTACAGATATGAGAGGCTCCCTGCTTTAGAGTTAATGCAATATTGGAACATCCAGTAAAGTGCTTTGATTAGGAAAACAGAGAAGGTGTCCAGCAACATACAAAAATATCTGAAATGAAGTGGCAGAGTCCTGGAAAGTCTGCAGTTGTGTTGTTCTGCCCATAATTTATTTTCAATAAATGGAAAACATGTGGGAAGGCCTTCTCAGTATTGAAATATAGTAGGCCATGTCATAAAACGTTTCATACTTTTCTTAGAAAACTGCACAAATTATTCTTTGACTTCGCTTGGTTCAAAAGAACCAAGAGCTGGACTCTTCAGTTCTCTGCAGCCACCAGATTGGGCACTGGAGGAAAAGTCTGGAGGTTTGCTTACCACTCCCCTGCTCTGCACTGCATTATAGACTCCTCTAACTCTAAAACCTCTGAAGTTGCAAAAATGAAGGAAAATATATTTTTTCAGCACATTCTCTGCAGGAGGCAATACACCCAATGTCCCCTTGCAGTAATGACCCAGTGAGATGGACACTGTTATCATTACCTATTCCCCTTTTAAAAATTCCACTTTATTTGCATTTATTTTAAATTGCTAAAGGGCATATGCATTCACCAGAAAGAGACAGAGAGAGGGAAAGGGAGAAAGCAACCCCCAACTGAGCATGGTCACACTGAAATCCCTTCTCCATTTCTCCATCCTATTGGGATTTTGGGCACACATAAACATGCACCTGGTGAGGATTTTTCTTTTTGGTGAGGTTTTTGCGATAGGACGTGTGCACTCGCCAGAAAGACAGAGAGAGACAGAGAGATAGAAAGCGAGAAATCCCCCCCCCGGGGGGATGGCCACACCACAATCCCTTCTCCTCCAGTCTCCTCTTGGGATCTTGGGCACACATGCACACATGCTTGGCATGAGTTTAAGCCACTGGGTCCAGGACTTGAACCACGGTCGACTACACGGGAGTCCAGTGACATAGCCATTACACTAACTACTGGTCTCCCTGGTGAGTTTTTTCAAGCCACTGAGGCTGGGATAAAAACTGTGGTCAGCCATGAGGGATCCAGCTCCCTTAACCACTAGGCTCTAAGGCAGTCCAAGAATTCTCATGTTATAAAATGAGCAAAGACTCTCAGGGAGATTTTTTTTGTTGTTGTTTCTTTCCAGAGGAATTTTTTGCTATAAGGCACATGTGCTTGTCAGAAAGACAGAGAGACAGAAATTGAGAAATCATCCCCCCACAAGGATGGCTACACTATAATCCCTTTTGCTCTATTATCCTCGGGATCGTGGGTGTGCATGCACACACAGCCAGCGTGAATTTTAAGTCACCTGGGACTTGAAATGCTGTCGATTACATGAGTGCCCAGAGATGTAACCATTAGGCCATCTGCTGGTCCCAGGACTCTCAGGGAGATAAAGTAACTTACTCAAAATGCTCAAATCACCCCAATCTTATATTTTTTCACTAGAGACCTATACATGACCTCTCTGCCTTTTGACCTCCAAAAGAGACAGCGTACTATTCCCACATTTTCCATGCAGGACTTTAAATGCTTATAGCCAGAGACTAATGCAACGTTTAACCAAAAAAAGTTCAGGAACAATGGAAAACATTTTAAAATTCATTTCCAAGCAAATGGTATTAGTCACAGTTGAAGAGTTTCCTCATCAGCAAGGTGCATCCTGTAGAGTTGGAGGTTATGGAGAACATTTAGAGACTGAACTTCTGCACTTGCAACAGTCATTGATGTGTTCCACTGTACTCGCCACCAGCCAGGGCTATGGGTGTACCGGCAGGCTCCTAAAGAAGCCCACAGCCCCAGGAAACTGCCAGCCCAATGCTAAGTCCTGCACTTCCAAGTCTATAATTAAGTGAAGACCACAAGAATGAAAATGCAAGGGTCACATGAGCCCATAAAAATACAGCACGTCCACCATCTCAATCCCTTACAAGACAAAGGGCATGCCACCTCACCTTTCCTTATCAGAGTCAGTTGTCTCTCCCGACATTTCTGTTTCATGCTCTAGAAGTTGGAGCTGCAGTTGATGGCGTTCCTAAAACAAACAGAGACTGGTCTTTCAGTGAATGGATGCCAAGTCACTGCAGGTATTGAGCAATTCTAGCACGAGTGAGCCTGAGTCGATATAACACCTGTGGGTCTTTCACATCTGCTCACCCAAAGTCCAAAGTTCTGAAGTACCAAATCTGAGGCCAGGTGGTGGCATAGCAGTAGTGCAACTGGATCCACATGGGGAAGGTCCTGGGACCTTCCTGGGCACTGGGATGTGGGCTGGTGACGACTGGAGGTGGCCTGAGGCATGAGGACTCTGCTGGGGTGCCTCCTCCCTTTCTTCTATCTCTCTCTTAGAAGAAGTAAATACTTTCTTAAAAAGTGCCAAACTGGGACCAGCAGTTGACATAATGGTTATGTCGCTGGACTCCCATGTAGTTGACCATAGTTCGAGTCCCAGACCCGGTGGCTTAAACTCACACTGGGCACGTGTGTATGCATGTCCAAGATTCCAAGAGGAGAATGGAGGAGAAGGGATTGCAGTGTGGCCATCCCCCCTGTAAACTTCCCACTTTCTGTCTCTCTGTCTCTGTCTTTCTGGCGAGCACACATGCCCTATAGCAAAAAACTCTCTAAAAAAACAAACAAAAAGTGCCAAATCTGTGGGAGTGTGACTATAGATTTATGAATCAGAGATAATATCCTGGGGCCAGCAGATGGTATGGTGGTTAAGCTGTTGGACTCCCATGTGGCTGACCAAGGTTCGAGTCCCAGACCTGACAGCTTGCTTTCTCACTCTCTCTCTCACACACATTCTCTCTCTTTCTGCTTCTCTCTGGTGAGGGCATGTGCTCTACAGCAATGCTTCTCTCTGGCGAGGGCATGTGCTCTACAGCAAATTAAAATATAATAATTAATAAAATTATATTATAAAATATATTTTTAAAAAAGAGACAAATATCCTGGATAAAACTATACACAAGATTCATCTTTTAAAGTATTCCATCATATCAGGTTCAGATGTCTTATGAAAATTTATAGTTCAGGCCAGCAGGTGACATAATGATAAAGATGCTGGACTTACAAGGCTGACTGCAGTTCAAGTCCCAGACTTGGTGGTTTTCCCTCACTCTGTTCGAAATTAATTAATTAATTTTAATTCTTTTAAAAATAAAGAAAATCTGTAGTTCTAATTAATGATAATCAATACCATAAATGCATGGTCTATGATATTGTAAAATTCTTGGTTATTTTATAAATTGTCGAGAAAAAGGCTCTAGAATGCTGGTAATATCCTATAGACTAACCCAAAAGATATTCACACAGGTGTGTTCACTTAGGAAAAAAAAATACTAACATATTGCATTAGTCAGAATAATGACCCCTCCCCCAAAGACCTATGTCCTAATCCTTGAAACCCACAAATTTTGTTAACTGACATGGAAAAGGGAAGTTTGCAATGTAATTAAATGAAGGCTATTAAAATGAGATGATCTGGATTATCCAGCAAAGATATTATAAAAGAGACAGTCGAGTCAGAGTCCAAGAGAAAGAGAGGTTAGAAGATGCTGCACTATTGGCTGTCACACTGGAGGATGGGTCACAAGCCAGGGAATATGGATGGCCCCCGGAAGTTAGAGAAGGCCAGGAAATGTGCTTCCCGTCAGAGTTTTCAGAAGGAAACCAGCCCTGCTGACATCTTGATTTTAGGACTTCCAACCTCCAGAACTGTAAAATTATAAGCTAAGGTTTTATTTCAGTTTTCATTTGTTTTTGTTTTTAAGGAAGATTTTGCCATAAGGTGTGTGCACTCACCAGAAAGAGAGAGAGAGGGAAAGTATGAAATCTCACAGTCCCACCCCCACTCCACCCCAGGGGAATAGCTACACTGCAATCCCTTCTCCTCCATTTTCCTTTCAGGATTTTGAACATGTACATACACACGCCCAGTGATTTTCAAGCTGCCAGGTCTGGGACTCGAACCATTGTTGGCCATGTGGGAATCCAGCACCTTAATCACCACATCATCTGCTGGTCCCTAAGCTAGTATTTTAAGCCACTAACTTTGTGGTAAGTAGCAATAAACAACAGTCATATACTACTAGTCATATAGATTGTAAACTTCTCTTCTACCAAATTATTAAAAGCAAATATTTGAAATTCTAACTCCCATAATCTCTGAAGTTGTAAGCAATGATTTACCAAGAGGCAAGCCAAAGGGGTAGGGAAGCAGCCTTCCTGGCCAGCTAGAACATCACATTGCCTAAGAATTTGGGAGAATCCAAGAAGACCAACTTTCACTGGGGCTCTGTTACTGTTCTTAAATCTCTACAGCAAATGCACATCCTGGCCCATGCAGTAGGCTACTGGCTGGAAGTTGCTGTTATCCCTAAAATAACAGTGATGAACCTCTCACAAGTGAGCACTGCCTTCTGAGCACCACCTCCACCTACCCCCCAAAAAGAGTAGGATAGGACCTAACTTACAGCACACTTTGAAAAAATGTTTTCAATTAAGACACAAAAAATCTTAAGTATATAGCACAGAATAGCTTCTTAAATTTGTACCCATGTGAGAAACTACCACTCAGATTAAGATGCAAAAAATATTATCTATTTCCCAGGAGGGGCTAAGGCAGAGCACACTCTGAAAAAGATTTTTTACCACTCTAAAAAAGGTGTTCCAGGGACCAGCAGATGGTGGAACAGTTACGTTGCTGGACTCCCATGTGGTCAACTGCCCTTCGAGTTCCAGACCTGGAGGCTTAAAGCTCACACTGGGCATATGTGTGTGCGTGCCCAAAATCCCAAGAGGAGAATGGAGGAGAAGGGATTGTGGTGTGGCCATCTCCCCTGGGGGTGATTTCTCACTTTCTGCCTCTGTCTCTCTGGCAAGTGCACACACCCTATGGCAAAAATCTCTCCAATAAAAAGGTGTTCCAAACACAATGCTCGATCAGAGATATGGCAAACTAAGTTACATAGTAGAGAAGTCACCCAAAAGCACATCGTTAACACTCAAGCAAAATCCAAAATTAAATGAGCATGGGATACCAGCCCCACTACAGATCATGCCTGTGCGTGTGCTGTTTACACAGTGTGTGCAGAGACATGGCCAGACCCCCACTCTCTATGGTCTACGCCTGGCACCGCTCATCCTAGCTGAGTAAAGTAAGCGCTGGGAGGTCAGAGAAGTCATGATGTGTCTTTCTATATTTTTTCTACGCAAAAATGCGTCACAACTTTTCCAACAGCCCAATGTTTCTCTAGTCTAGATGAAAAGGAGGATTTAGAGAAGGACAAAAAACTTTCAAATTACTAAAGAAAAAGACAAACTGGTGTGGAGGAGGTGTTGTGTTACCTCAGTGCTGACAAGCAGGGCTGGCCTCCCCACCTCCCTGCCCTTCTGCCTTTGCCTCCTGTAAGGGCACAACGTGGAAACTAGTAGGAAAAAACTATAAACTTGCAGAATCTCAAGGGCACAAAGAATATAAGCTTTAAAAACAAGCTGACTCTGGAGGCAGATCCTTTGGCAATCCTACAACAAAAATCAGAAACGCAAGTGATTGAGCCTACCTTGTGCCAGGCACCGTGCTTATCACATGGATTTTTCCCATTTACTCTCATAAAAGCCCTATGAATAAGAACTACCATTATCAGCATCTTACAGAACAGGAAACTAATAACAGATCTGGAAATGCCCACAACTAGGCATTTTTAAACCTAGTTTAAAGGCAAGGTTTAAACCTAGTTCTGATTCTAAACTCTTTTTTCTTTTTTAAGAAATATTTTTGCTAGGGCGCATGCGCTTGCCAGAGACACAGAAAGCGAGAAATCTCACGCACACACCCAGGGAAATGGCTGTGCCGCAATCCCTTCTCCTCCATTCTCCTCTCAGGATCTTAGGCAAGCACGCACACATGCCCAGCATGAGTTTTAAGCTGCCAGGTCCGGGACTCAAACCACTCCAGATCATTAAGATCTTGGGCACAGACACATACACCCGGCATGTTCTCTGACCAACATAGGCATGCAAACCCACGGTCAGCCATGTGGCTGCCAACATTGCAGTTCAGTTTGCTACCAACCACATCACCAGGCTGGCCCTCACCTGGCTTCTTTCTGCCACAGGAAAATCTGTCAGCTAGAGACAGCATGTGAGCTAACTAGCACCTTCTGCTGTCACAGAGTGGTGGTGGGAGAAAGCTCACCCATGTTCTAGAAAGTGCCCTTGTTACCCCATCCTCACTGCCACTCCCTCTATGTGATACTGATGTTGGCCATAAATGAGCCTAGCATGTGCTTTTTGATAAAAGATGGGATTCTGGTTTTTGTTTTTGTTTGTTTTTTTTTAGGGTGTAGAGGCGAGGTTGTAATTCTAGTTTGCTCAAGTCTCTCCCAAATAAAAACATTAGCTAAAAATGGAGAGCTCTGTGTTCCCTGAAGTTCCACAGCACTGAATTGATGCAGTAATCACTCTGGTTACATGTCGCCTTGTCAGGGGACTGCAGAGGAGTTTATGTTGCAGACACTAACTGATAAACAGACCTCTTCTAGCACCACGACAGCCCTCGTGGTCACCTTGTCATGCTGCCATGCCCCTTGTTCCACCATCACGTTGAAGATTCTCAGCATCCAGATGATGTGCATGGGCCAGTAATGTGGCATGGTGGTTAAGGCAATGGACACCCACATAGCCGACTCTGGTTTGAGTCCCAGACCTGGCAGCTTGAAAATCATGCTAGATGCATGTACCTGCATGCCCAAAATCCCAAGAGAGGAGTGGAAAAGAAAGGACTGCAGCATGGGAATCTCCACTGGGGGGTGATTTCTCACTTTTGTCTCTCCATTTCTCTTTGTCTCTGACAAGTGCACATGCCCTATAGCCAAAAAGAAAAAGAAAGAAAATCACACTGGATGCATGTGTGTATGTGTGTTCAAAATCCTGAGAGGAGAATAATAAAGGAAAAGGGATTGTGGTGTGGCCCTCACCCCCAGGGGCTGATTTCTCATTTTCCCTCAGTGGAGATTGCACACACCCTATAGCTAAACCTAAAAAAAAAAAAAAAAAAAAAAAAATGCAGAAGGCTGTGCAGGTGCCAATCAGGCTGCAGTATTGGCAGGTCACTGCTGATTGCAAACTCATGAGCAGCTACAGAGCCATTGCTGGAAATCAGCCACAGCTGCGACCCTAATCTGCAGCGCCTTCTCCCAGAAGTCAGCTGTCACCTGCTAGAGGTTATCCATCTTTTCCTTCTCTTCCTGTCTTTCCTCTTTCCTCTCTCCCACCCCACCTACCCTTCTCCACACATCCTAATTTCCAGCCTCCTTTCTCTAGACTGACTACAGTAGGCTAAGTTCCTACTGCCACCCCCACCCACCCACATGCACACACGCACACACATACACACACACAAAGGTGCCCCCCCAATCTTCCCAGTCTCTGGTTTGTCAGGGAAAAGTCCATCCTTGAGACATAAGCCCCCCGAAAAAGGCAGGGTTGGAATGTGGATATAACATCTCAACAGAAGTCAAGGACTCAGTGGGTAAACTGAGTTTATGTCTGGGGCAACAGCATAGCGGAACTGCTAAAATACATATTTTGTAAAGAATTTTATGTTTAATATTTTTTAGAGCATCAAAATATTTACCATGAAGAAAATTAGAACTTTGCTAGATTTCATATCTTTAATTTTATAGCTGTGTATCTTTCTCTTTTAATCACAAATTGAGGGATGAGAAGGATCTATGTTGGGACCAGCAGTTAGTGTACTGGCTATGTTGCTGGACTCCCATGTGGTTGACGTGGTTCGCATCCCCGACCCAGTTGTTTAAAACTCATGCCGGGCGCATGTGCATGCGTGCCCAAGATCCCGAGAGGAGAATGGAGGAGAAGGAGTTTTGGTGTGGCCATCCCCCCTGGGGGGTGATTTCTCGCTTTCTGTCTCTCTGTCTCTCTCTGTCTTTCTTGCGAGCGCACACGCCCTATAGCAAAAACTTCTCCAAAAAAAGGAAAAAAAAAAGAAGGTTCTATGTTGAGGGTGTCTCCAGTCTCCAGAGAGGCCTGCAAGGGAACCAGGGACATGCAGAGGAGTCTGGGCCAGTGGGCAGTCAGCCCAGACTAAGTGTGTTACCTTTTCCATGCACTCAATCAGCTTGTCCAGCTCCCCAATCCTCTGGTCTTTCTCCTCGAGGCTGATCTCTGCTGCCTGCATCTTTTTATTGGCTTCTTCAATGGCTTTCAGAAAACTATTGGTTTCTTCCTGCAAAAGAAACATGCTCTCGTCAGTGCAGGCATGGAGGGCCTAGGCTACTTACCAGGCTCCAAACGGTTATGGCCTTGCTAAATTATGACCTCTTTAAAAGCATGACTTTGGGGCCTAAAAGTATGTCCCAGATCACAAACTCAACTTCCATGATCTGTTTTTCCTTCTGAATTAAGAAATACCTGGTTGGGACCAGCAGGTGGCGTGGTGGTTAAGATGCTGGACACTCCCACATGGCTGACCGTGGTTCGGGTACCGGACCTGGTTGCTTGCTTTCTCACTCCCCCCCCCCCCCCCCCCTCT